TCTCTCTCTCTCTCTCTCTCTCTCTCTCTCTCTCTCTCTCTCTCTCTATCCGTGTCTCGTTGGCAAGCTTGTTTTATCCGAGTTATTGGACCGCGCCATGGCCTTCTTCGGTGTCACACACCTGGGTTATCAAAACCCAACAGGTGATAAGATGATAGTGAATCCCAGAGCAGCAGCTCATCCTCGGGGTAAGAAGAGCTGGACTTGGAAAGTATAAAGTTAGCACAGAGGATGGTGTTTGCTGACATGAGCTCGTAGGTTTATATTTTTGCATTTTTATGAAATCTCAAGCAATACACTAATTTTAACTTGAGTTTGGTGTGTTTTTCATTATAGTGACAGGTTTATGCATGTAAACAAACGAATGATCAGCCTATACTATAATAACATATCTCTATACAGATGGTGGGAACATCAGATCAGGACCGTCTCCATCTCTTCAAGAACACCAGGGACCCCTCAGATGTACAGACACATGCAACGTTTACCACCAGCCTCTTCACTACAGCGCTGACATGCACCAAGGGAGCCATGAGCGATACAAAGAGATGGTCAAACGGCTTCAAATACCCAGATGTGAGTGGACATAGAAAAGAGACATTAACGGTCAGATGGACTACGTAGGATCCAAATGGCAGCTGTATTCCATGGTGACAAGTGTCTGTCTGCTCTCTTGTCCAGCCCCTCACCAGCTGTACATAATGCCTCTAACGGAGAACCAGAAGTATGGATGGACACTGTGCAGGAGTCCTGAACCATGGACTCAAGTCAAACGGTTTCCCCAAACGTACAGTGAGATGTCAAAGTAGGTAACATTCCTAAATCTCATGTTCATTTTTTTTCCACATGTAAGGTAGATGTAAATGCAATTCATGTGTTGCTTTCACAGGTTTGTTAAAGAAATGTCAACAACAGACCGGGAGTTCAGCCTATTCTGACAGCTTTTCTTCTTCAGTTATTAGTTATTTGATGCGAAGTTCTGAGATTAAACTGGTGACAGATTCACTTTAGATTTTTTTCACTAATGTTTTGTTTTCTTTTAAATCTAGGCTGAGTTTTTGTTTGTTTTTACACAAGCTATGAGTAACTGCCTCTCTAGAACAATACGTCTTAACCTTTGAGGAAGTGTGGATGTGTGAACACAAATAATTCCAAAACTAAATACCACTTTTATATATTAGGTGGATTTAACATAAATTATAAGATAAGAAGCCATCTTGCCACCTCATAAGGGGTTCAGACCTGCAGGTCGGCACCACTGTGGTGGTCTATACAGAGGGTGGAGTTGTAATGCCCTCTAGAGGAGATCAAAAATTATTACTTCTGAATTTCGGGAGATAATGATCTTTAGTAACTGGAGCATGTGGAGTTGCTCAGGAACATTTCACCACTCAGTGGCCAAGAAAAGATGTTTACATTATTCCTCCTGAAGAAGTATTTCACAGATATTTCAGTGCAGAGGGATTGAATCCTGAAGAGGGCCTTGATGGATACAGGCTGGTTTCATCAGGGAGGCACAGGAAGTCAAAGGATATCAGGACATGCTCAGGCTTTGAACACTAACCCTTCAAACTGCATCAAATGTCCCAAAAATGACTTAATGGACCTTATTCAATTTTACCAAAGTGTCACATTAGTATGTCACAAATATTAAAAAGGATATTACTTACCATAACTTGTCTGTAGATGGTGCAAAGTGGCACTCAGTGATACTGCTGGTCTTGCAGCTCTGCAACTGGATAATAATGGTTTGGTCTGGTCTCTGGTGCTTTCCATCAGTGACATTGTCCTTGTTTTGGTAGCCACTTAGCTAGTGGTCCGATCCCCCCTCCCCAATGAGTCTGCAAAAAAGCCTGAAGTATTAACCAGTCTGCTTATTTCACAGTAAAAAATGGCGACTGGTGAACAAGACATCTATTTTTTTCTTTGTGTTTCTTACAATTACTGTCATCTAATTGTGAGAATATTTCTTTGCAGGCTTGAGTCGAAATTATAAATAAATTATAATCTGTGAAACATTTGTGAATGTGGTTATTAAGTATGTGTATATTGACAAGTAAACCACTTTCTAGTTCTTTAAACATAACATATATAGTTATTCCATAATGTATGACGGGTCTGTTCCTTTAAGCCACAGGTAATACCTATATGCGGTACAACTAACAATATTAGTAAATCTATGAACACGCAAAACAGCCATTGATTTTTTTTATTATTTTTTCTTCATGGGGAAATGTTATTTTTCTCTTTGTCATAGTCCTCAACTCTTCTCGTCCTTCACCTTTGCAAAAAACACTCCCCTTTCAAATCCTCCAACTCAGGGAAAATACAAATAAAACAAAAACAAATAGGGAAGGATTCATCAGGCCTGAGCAAACACTGTTTCAGTAGTATGGGGACAACCTCCCTCTCCTGTTCCTCCCCCAAAACGTCCCAAGAGTTAACAATCAACACAAGTCTATGGACAGCAATAGAAATAGAATACATACAATGCACATTTTTATAAACTCATGTCCATTCTATAAATTCTTTGCTTATATGAATCACCCTTCATTGTTCACAGTTCACTTGATAGTTGGTGATCTCTATTACATTACTGTCCTCTGGTGGTCCCACCACGCCCCAAGGCCCAATATCATTGCACAGGAGGGGACCAACAGCACAAGGCTGCGTGAGCTGGCTTTGGTACAAACGTGATCAACTGTTGGTTGCCATTGTCGAGTGTGGTCGGAAGAGCTAAATCAGGGGCCGATTCTCCCAATTACAAAAGTTGAAGCCGGAGAAAGCCAGGTCGCTGCAACGATGATGTTTACTGGAGATTATTCTCGACAAGCCCTTATCCCTTTTTCTCCGTCCAAACATCAGCAGTCCAGGCAGAGCAAGCAGGCACTGTTCCTGTTCACTGATATTCTATGATTGGTTTTATTTTAACTTAAGGCAATCAAACTCAGCTATTAGTACTTCTACTGAGCGTGGAGGGGGGGGGGGGGACGGCGAGAGAAACAATACAATAAATATATGTATAGGTTTATTAATTCTGTCCTCTTCACATAGTGTAACACCAGGGATGTAATTTGCTACTACTGAGAAGTGAATGTGTGGGAGGGAGAGGTCACCTTAAAGCCTGACTGAGAATTACAATACTGCAGTAGTGGCATAAATAAAATAAAAAAAGCACAGTGAATCATCTGTATATGTGTGTGTTTACTGCTATGCTTATGTGAGCATACACCACTCGGGTTCCGCTGCAAAGGCAGCTAATGGTTATTACTTACTATACATGATCACACCTATCGCCAGTTGAAATACTGTATTGTACATTAGGACTGAACAGCAGAATTCATTGGCTGCAGTTGATCCGTTGGTACCAGTGAGCTTGAGCTTTACAACTGGCATTTTACAAGAAAGCGTGCTGGTCTTTGATCCTTTTCATTGGAATGGAATCATCATAATAAGCATAATAATTAATCAGAATCATCATCATAATAATAATAATAATAATAATAATAACAACATTAAGAATATACAAATGATGGATACAGAAGTGATACAAAATACCCTACGTTAAAACAAACAAAAATAAAAACAAGATACCACAATCAGACATGCTTCAAAGCAGTTATGTTTGGCAAGAAAGCAGTTTTTGTTGTATCATAAAAACCTCACAGTGAAAATAGTTATGCCCCTTCAGGATTACAAAGCACAGTATTCAGTCAAAATCAATATATATTTCTTTCCTTCATCTATTTCTTCTTCACAGAAGAATCAGGCTGTGTGGTACCACTGCGTTGAAATCCGAGGTTTTTCCCCCCTGATGGCTCTGATTTTAAGTTCCTTCATTTCCATCTGCACCGAAAAAAAAAAATACTTCTCTGAAAAGGGAAGGAGCAGCGATGACAATATACTGTAAGGGCTGAAAACCAGCTGCACACTGGCTGCTCAAGCTCTAAGGAACCAATCTGACATGAAGTGAGGATGAAGAGGATCCTAATCCCAGCTGGAGCTACTTCTAGTCCTCAGAGATAAAAAATATAGATTTCAGATATCACCTTCTTATAACATCCTTAGTCGTCTTAAGTCATTTTGTTTTGAGGTTGAGGGCAACATCACAATTTAAAGTCAAAGTGAGCTCTTGAATGACAGACAAAATAAATTAATTATACATGTTTCTATGAAAACAATGAAGCAGCCGGTGCTGCCAGCAGTTGGCCAAAAAGACAGAGGGTTCAAGCCTCCTGCCCAAAAAACAGAGGCGGTGATCATTGCTGACTTTAGCGAGAACATATCAAACATGTCTTGCCTTGCTTTTAGTAAATACTTTAGTCTTTGGTCAATATATTCCTCTTCAGTTTATACATATATTCATACACACACAAATATGCATTTACATACACTTATAAACGTGTAATGAACTGGATATTTGTGCACGTATGTATTCACACTTTTTCATAAAGGACCTTTTGCACAAAACATCGAGATCTAAATAAATAACTAATTCAGAAACAAAGTATGAGTACCTGTTCATAATTCATGTGAAATGAAAAAAATTTACCCGAAAAAAGAAAACAAACAAACCTCAGAGTAAAAATAAAAAGTAGCCTTATGTACAGCGTTAATCTTCTTTTGACACAGGCTAAAAGGCGTTGTTTTAAATAAACAGACTTTGCATCTTTCAAGAAGCCTGAGAGAGAGGCTAGACATGAGAACAGCACGTGTCCTTCAACATGTATGTGAGCCAAAATGGCTGTCAAACGAGAACATTTTCCTCTCATCAAGAACACTTTCCTTTTTGAAGTCTTTAAAAGTTTTTTGTTTTCCTCTTTACTTGGGATTCAAGTGATGGCGTCTCTAGTTTTTAAGCCATTAGCTCCACTGTGAGTCCTCGCTCAGTGGTGCTGTGTCTCTGAAGTGGGGATCGTCCCAGCATTGCTGCTGCGTCGGCTGCTAACTGCTGGGCGGTCCTTCGTTCAGGAAGTAGGTTGTCATTTCCCCTTTACCTTTGACCTTAACCACCCCCCGATACTCCAGCACGTACCCTTTGTTTGCAAGCACCTGGTAGAGGTCTGTAGTCACCTGGGAGCAGAATGGCAAAGGGCACACTTATATGAAGCTGTAGAAATATCTGATCAAATGAAGGACATTTATTATTCTCGAGCTGCGTCATCTTCAATTAAAATGTGACGGTGGAAGGTTACTTATGTCAGATCTTATGAGGCAACAGTTTCTCTCGTTTGTTGGGGTAGAAAAACAAGTTTTATTCACTGAAGTTTAATAGCTGTTACATGACACCTACCTGTATGCAGTCAGGTACACCTGTGCTGTCCATACGACTGGCCACATTGACCGTGTTGCCCCAAATATCATACTGAGGCTTCCGTGCACCAATAACCCCAGCCACCACTGGTCCCATGTTCAGACCTGGTAATTAAAGACAAAAACTCTTCACTGTATCAACGAAGCTGCTACTGTTTCCCCGTTTACCATATTAGAGAACTTTAATGTGATTTCCCAAACATTTGAATCTTCGCTTACCTATCTTCATCTGGAAGTTGTTGAAGGAATGCTCGTTGATGTACTTCATCTGCTCCCTCAGTCTCATGGCGTAGTCGGCCAGTGCAATAATGTGTGAGCGGCCCTCTTTGTCGTAGGTGGAGTCATTGAGACCGGACGCAGCCATGTAGGTGGAGCCAATGGTCTTGATCTTCTCCAGCTGCCTGTACTTGTCTTCACTGATGATCTGAGAACAGATGGTGATCACATTTGTGCAACTTACACATTTTTTTTTTTTTTTAAATTAGCTGCAAGCAAAGGTCAAAGGGACGAGACGCTGAGCTTTACAAACATGCCTCAACAAACGTTACCTCATCAAAGTCAGCAATGATCTCGTTGAGCAGCCGGAGACACTCCACTCCCTCGTTGTTGGCCTCCAGCTCCACGTAGAATTCGGAGAAATTGCTGATGGAGGCGAACATGACGGCCACACACTCACAGGACTGGTAGTATAGCTCGTCGTTACGCCGTTCACGCGTCAAAAAATGAGCGGCTACGTCCTTAGGCAGAATATTATGGAGGAGGCGACGATTGTAGGCTTGCAGTTCCTCCATCTCCTCCTTCTCCTCTGTGGCCTGGGAGTGAAGGATCTTTATTAGATATATTATATATATAGTGATAAAATGTCTGGCAGGGCAGATATTCTATTAGAAGACATTAATAAACTGTGAGGTAGCTCAACCATCTTCTCCAGCTTTTGCAGAATTGTGAAGAGATTGTGTTTGCAGTTCACATGGTCAGAAGACGCCCTCTAGTGGACGCTAAACATACCTGTAGTTTCCACAGGAAGTCGAGGCGTGCGGTAGATTCAACCTGCTGGGCGTGCAGGTACAGCGCCAGGACAAATACTGTGAGGATCACTGGAGTCATGACCCTCAGGGACACTTTGGTCACAACAAATGGGCTGCAGAGTAACGAACACATGGTCACATTAATGGAATAAAAAAAGCGTTCAAATGATAGAATAGGACATCAAAACCTTCGAGAGTAACACAATATAATCTTACCACTGGTTTGTAGTTTCATTGAAACTGGACCTAAAAGTAAAAACATTCTGGTCAATACAAATGAAGTTAATAATCATGATAATATTAATTAGTTAAAAGTGTTTCTTTTAGGTCTTAATACAAATTTAAATTCTTACCATTGAGCACTAGTTTTATTTAAATCACTAAAGAGGAAAAAGAAAACAGAACAAATAATGAAATATACAAAACTCTTGACATTTAACTAAACTTGAATTATATATTAAAAGTCATGTATGCTTTAATTTATGGCACAAATAGGGACAACGTCCAAAAAGGTCTGGGTGGTGTTTCCAAACATTTGATATTGGTGCCAGTACATCACTTTAGCCTCAATACTGGTACCAAAACAATACCTTTTTAAGCCCTTAGTTTAGGATATATACGAATGTTAAGATACTTTTCATTTAACAAAATATGGCAAACTGCTCAATACAGGGCGGATAAAATAGAAAACCATATTTTATATAAATAAAGTCTAAAGTTGTGGAAGTTTACTTTTTTAGATCAGGAAATGCCTGAGAAGTGAAAAAGTAAAAAAAGAATCGGACCAAGCATTCAATGCCAACTTTCGATAGCCTTGCTACCGATTGATAGTCAATCAGTTTTTAATAAGTATTGAGGTTCAGCCCTATATTCCAACACATGAAAAAAGCTGCCTGGTTTAATTCATTCAACATTATCCTGTGCCCCCCCGCCTCTGCATTAGCATTATATTCTACAGCCTGTGGCACTTACATGGCATTGGAGGTGACAAAGAGGTCTGCGTTGTCGAATAGTGCTACTTGTGGCCACTCCACCAGCAGCAGGAAGGTGAGCTGGATGAGCAGCATGAGAGCCAGCTTCCCTATGCTGCTGATCTGCAGGAACACCGAGCAGGCCAGCAACGTCAGCAGCACACTGTAGCTGAAATACTGGAGAGCGGCATCACAAAAAGGTATTATTGACAATAGATCTCAGATAAACACAAATGCAAATGTGACATTTTCATTTTTGAAAAGGTTCGACCAGTGGCACAGGGAACCCAAACAGTGAAGTGGTGACACAACAATGAATTCACCTCAGGAAAAGGGCAGGAGGGGCCTTGGTTAGGACAGATCTCTAGACCCCCTTCAATGGACACATTTAAGCTGCGGATCAAACAGGGCGTCACCAGCGCTGCAGAGGTGTTCAGCTTCTCGGCAACACATTGTTTCAAGCTCATGGTGTCACAGGCAAACTGCAGTGAAGCCAAACACACACACACACACATATATTCAGCCTGGTTTTCATCATATATGGATATGCTGTCTGCCTGTCTCTTCAATCTTACCATATTAACAAAGGCAGAGATGAAAACGAGGATAATGGTAAATACTCCAACCAGGGTGCTGTTGGTGCGAGACTGGACAATCTTCTTTGAAACAGTCTGCATTGCAGCTGGAAAGAGCTACAAGAGGACGGGAGAGGAAAAATAAATGATTTACACATTAAACATACAGTGAATGACGTACAAGCAGAATATATGTTTGTGTGATTTGAAAACCTGTGCTACCTTGATGCAAGAATATATGGCACAAATAAAAAGGATGTTGGCAAGAATGACGAAGATACTGATGTAGATTCCCAGCATGACCGGGGTGCTGCAAGGGAGGAAACATAAATACAGTTAATGAGAAACATTTAGGGTGCTTTCACATCTAAGCTGTCAATCAATTGTTTTGGAACGGGACTATGTTAAAGCAGATATGAATTTTTTTAGTTTACTTTTATTTTTTTACTCAGTCCAGACCAAATGAATTAAACTACAGGTGTGAAAGCAACCTTAAAAACACACAGTACATACTGGAGGATCTCCAGTATGTGAATGTTTGAAGTACTCACTGTGGAAAGATAACAATCTGTATGAAGGATATGAAGCAGAATACTAGTAGAGTACACGCAACATAGCCTCCAAAACGATCGTCCACCTTCTTGGAATACTGCAACAGGAAACGGCAGAAGAAGAGAGTCAGATATGAGCAGCAGCGGTTCCCTCCTCCAAACATGAATTATATTTAAGTTGAAGAAGCACAGACGGTAATTACAGCTGGGCAATAATTCAATATAACAATTCATCGTCTTTTTGACATTATCGTGAGGAAATCATGTATCGAGATATCGTGATATACAATTACGTTGTCTAAATTATAAATACTCATACCAACAAAAATATTCTCCGAAAATCTGATTAAACTCTTCAGTTAAATCAAACTATTTTCTTAATGTGATTAGTTTGTATTTGTGTGCATGCATGTAAACATTTTTTATTTATTTTATCTCTATAAATTAACTTGAAACTGTTGTTTATTTTGCACTAAAGTTCTTAACAATAATACTTTTCATTTGTCAAGTATTTAATTCACACAGGTCTTTTACCATGTGGTTATTTCATATAGAGTATTTATTGAATTACCAGAAAACATGCTACGTTGTGATATATATTGTTCTGGAGATATGAAATGAACTATATCAGGGTAGAGGATTTTGGCCATATGGCCCATCCCTATAATCAGAGGTCTTAGTTCAAACCTTTTTCTCCAGGCTAGACGTCTGGAAGGTGAGTAGGAACTTCTTAACGTGGTCTTTTCTTAGCTGGTCAATGCTGCGAGCGTCAATGGCTCTCCCCAGAAATTCATCCACCTCGTCCTCCGGGTTCATGGCCTCCTGAACACCACGGCTGCAAAAAGAAAAATGTTGTTAATGAAATCAAGTCAAGCAGTGCAGCAGCCTTTCACACATGTAAACAACAACAACAACAACACTCACTTATCTTTACTGGAGGTCTCATCAATCCCCTGAAGAAGAAAGAGGCACAAAACATGACTCTCGCAGAAAAGCTGCAGCCTGGCTCTATCAACAAGAAAGGAGTGTGTTGGTGTTGAGTCTCACCATTTGTCTGAAGACTTTGGAGTCTTTGGTCCTGGAGAAGGTTCTGTCGGGGACCCAGCGTGGCATCAGACCCTCATTAGAGTTAGCTCTCGTCCGCTGCATTCTAGCCATCACTGCCTTCTCGTCCTTCTGCTCAGAGGGAAGAACACGAAGGCTCGATCCACTGTTCTCATAAGACACAGTCACTGACCATAGAAGTGACTAAATAAATTAGAAGAGTTCCTGTTAAGATTATGCCGACTTCACAGTTAATTATGTAACAGTTAATCAGTGTGTCACCGTTGACCTGCACCTCAACACCACTATAATAAAGCTTCTGGACCCCACTAGTTATACTCGGTGGGGATTGTATCAGCTCAGGCTCAGTTAGCCTCAATTGTGTAGCTTTGATCGATGTTTCAATTCAATAAAGTTTCACATTTGTTAACTATGGCATGCTGCTCGGGAAATTATTTTTGACTTTGAAAGGAATTAAAGCCTAAGAATAAAAAATAAAAACGTAATTGTATGAAATGAATGTGTGAGGATATTAAATGCAACTGAAATGTAAACTAGACAATCATGTATTAAATTATTTGCTAATAGGCTAATGTGCAATAATCAAAATAATAATATAAATAATAATCAAAATCAGAGTATAAATAAGGATTTAAAAAAAGGAAATATAAACAATAACATTTTAGAGCAAAACAATTATAAATAAATGTGATGTAAGTTTTAAAATGCATGATTTTATATACATATTTATTGAGCGGTCTGTGTTTTTGTTCACTGACCCGTTTCTGGCTGCAGCCGAGAACCAAGAAGGTCTCAATGCTGTTGTCCTTCAGATACGCGTTCCTCTCCCCTCCGAAGCCGGGTTCCACCTCATAGTCTCCATTAAGATACTGCAAGGTGGCCTTAGTGATGTGGATCCGCCTACAGAAAGACATGGGATTTATAAATATTTTGGTATTATGCAGAACTTGGAGATGTCAGACATTCTTCTGAACATACCTAGCAGCTCCACAATTGCATGTGCATGTGATTGTGCACCTGTGTTTATTTCCCTCACCCTGCTTTGCCTCCCGCCTCCATGTGATTAGCCAGCGTGACATCGTTTGACCACACGTCAAACTGCCACTTCCTGAGTCCCAGCACGCCGCAGTGCACTCGCCCGCTGTGAATCCCAACGCGCATGTTAACGTTGACCCCCGTCACCTCGCGCACCAGCCTGTAGACACACGGCCCAGAGAGTCAGGGTCCCTTCTGGGACAAAAAAACAAAGAAACTCCAAAACAAAAAACAAACACACAAACGCCAACACCGTTTCCACTCACGAGATCGCCTCTATCATGTCGACGCCCATCTCCACACAGCAGTGGGCGTGGTCAGCCCGGGGTTCAGGCAGCCCGGACACACAGTAGTAACAATCTCCCAAAATTTTGATACGTAGACAGTGATTCTCCTGAGAAAGGGAGAGAAAAAGATCAGAATGAGGTTGACAAGTGTCCAAAAGGTATCTGAGGACGAAATAAAAGGAATAGAATGTTGGTAGCTGTCATATCTCTCAGGTGAGAATGATGCGACAGCCATGATTAGCTTATGTTATTTAACTGTGGAGACCTCTAAAGCTATGTCCCGAAATGTCAAACTAGTCCTTTAAGAAAACACAACAGACAGACGGACGCTGTGGATCCTTACCGATGCCAGCTTGTCGAAGCGGGCGAAGAGTTCATTGAGGGTCATGACCAGCTCCTGAGCCGTGCACTGAGAGGCCAGGCTGGTGAAACCCTCGATGTCTGCAAACAGAATACTGAGGACGAGAGAAAAGACGGGGAAAGACAAACCTTAGGTCCGGTGTTGAAGTTTTAGCATGAGCAACGTTAGCAATTCTAAGGAACACTGATTATATTTCCGGCCCTAATCAGCAGCAGCAGAAGAACGATATTGCAGTTTGTTATTATCAGGGCTGCTGGCCTTGAGAGAGGCCGGAAGTTTGACCGTCAACTCTTCTGAAGGAGATATGTGTGTGCGTGTGTGTGTGAGGGACAGAGGGGTGCTGTGTGTGTGTGAGGGACAGAGGGGTGCTGTGTGTTTGCTCAGTGCTGTAATTGAATGTGTGCCGAAGCTCTCCATCTTTGGGGATTATCTTATCTTGGCTGCTGGTGATTAAGTATTCCCTCACTACTGTTAATTAGCCTCCACTCTGCCAAACCACTCTACTCTCCTATGACTCTGTGAGCGCACGTGTGTTAGTGTGTGTGTGTGTGTGTGCAAATGTGTTGTGAATCATTTTCAGGAAAAATTCAGGAAACATTGTTATGTTTTAAGGAAGACATGACTGTACTTAAGGGGTGTCTTGCACTAATATGGAGGTTGATAAATTCATGGGTGAAACATGAAATACAGCACTGAGGCCGAGCGTCCCGGCTGACCTGACATTGTCGTGTTTCTGGATATAGATTTTATGGAACATCATGTCTTCCTTCTTGGCATTGATGTCAGCCTTCATCTCCATGGCAACGTGCCTTGGCAACACTGAAAGCAACAGACGTTCCTGGAAACACACACACACACACACACACACACACACACACACACACACACACACACACAGAAACAAAATGCAGATTGTGTCATTCACAATATTATTGTCTATGTGCAATGTGTCAAGGGTGTGTGTGTGTGTGTGTGTTTGTATTGTAATCACAAGGCAACATGTACGTCTTACCCCCCCCCCCCCTCTCAATCACAACAATAACAAATACTGAATTTGATGACTTTGTGATGTAGCGTGGGATCATGGGAGTTGTTCTTAGATGTCGTGACTCAAGCAGAAATCATGGTGGCAGACGAGATGATGTTTTAAAGTTTTATTATTGTTACGTTTTCTCACGCTTACTCAAGATAGGTCATTTAATTCTAATAACAGTTACCGTAAGCTAACGTAGCGTTAATTTGTTATCCGTGGTCAAAACAAGCATACAAAAAATATTCTTATATTCTTTATGGTTGAAGATAGTTCTGGTGAAACCGAGGCTCCTGCAGAGTGTGTTGCATTGTGGGTCGTTCGTAGCCTTAATGATGCTAGGCTAGCTACTTAATTCATGTATTTTAGAATGAATCCAGTTAAACCTGCAAGAGTTTCTGACACCTTGTGCTCATGTTTTGCTGCCAGGAAGTAAATACATTCCTGATGTGTTTTTTACCGAAGCGGACCGGGGAGCGAATCATCTGACCAAACATATTTTTTATTTTTATATTATGATGAAGAGCTAAAACAGACAACTGCCAGTAACTGCCTCCAAGAGCTTGACATGAGAGTGAATATGTATTTCATGTTTTATTTTTACAAGACAAAAGGCTTCAAGGATGAGGACACTTGTTCCAAAGTGTTGGCAAAAAGTCTTATATTTTGGCCAATTTAGTCATAAATACATATCGACTAATGTGTATTATGCATCTGTGTGCAGACCTACCTGTTGTTGATTCTCCCTCTGCAGGTGTAGCCTGGCCTGGATGTATCCTCTGGTCTCCTGGAAGGCTTGTCTCTGGGAAACCTCAGCGGGGTAGTGGGTACAGATACCAATGATGTTAGTGCACAGGAAGATCAGGACATTAGCGCTCACCTGGAGAGACGAGAGAGGAGGGAGGGAGGGAAGAGGTGGTCAGGCTTAAGAAAGGAGGATATGGATAATCCTGTGAGGCATTGGAGGCAGTGAATGAATCGTGATTTAAGCATAAAAGTAAGCAGGTGTAAAGTCAAATAGAGTGAAGGTACTTTCTCATCAAACTAGACAAATTATACATTTCTCATGCACCAGTGTTGTTGTCATTGCTTTCGGGACAGCATGGTTTCATTACTGAGAGAGAAAACACACAGGATATACACATTTATATTGTGTAAATAAATATTGTATATGACTGATTGTGGATTTAACCTTAAATCATAATAAAAAACTAATATTGTTTTGTTGACAATAAAAGAAGAAAGTGTGATGCTAACAGAGATAACGATAGATATACAGTTCATCTCAAGTGCTCGTCTTTACCGGAAAGTCTTTACATAAAAAGACGTAAAAACATCAACTGGTGAAAGACTTTTATTGCACTCTTTCTGAGTGTTACATTATTGATGATCTTTTCTCAAACATTTCTGTTCTCTTTCTTTCTCAAGAGACTTGAGACAAACTGTATGTGCTTTAAGGCCCCTTCACACTGTGGGATTTTGGGCTGTATGAGGAAAAAAAGTTGACAATCATGAGAGAAACTTTGTTAAAAACTTTGGTCGTTCCTGACTGCAGGTACGACCTAGGCCTTCAAATCAACCAATCAGAACACAACATACAAGGACGGAGAATACTCTGGTCGGCAAAAGATTTGTAAAGAATATTTTGAACAAGTTTAGGGGGTTATCTTGCATATGTTTATATATTTACACGGTAGCGCTTCTATTCACCACACAATTCAATATTAATATTGTCAGAAACTAATGAGAGGCCATGTGTACTGTCGGCCGCAGCCTGAAGCAGGGAGTTGACAAACAAATGGGATGTGATAGACGATTGCTTATGGGTGGTGTAATTTACTTCTTGCAGATTGTGTGTTTCAGTCGCCACCCTGTGGAGTTCAGAGGATGAGGCAATGAAATAATACTCAATGATGTAAATAAGATATTCAGAACTACTTAGTAGGTGTTCATTATAAGGAATTAATGATACCCTGCAGCCAATCAGGATCAAGTAATCACCCAGACAATGGTGGAAATATATACGGTGGCTACAAAATGAATAATGACAATAGCAAAAGATGATAATGGTGCATCAAGCATATAAACAGATGGGTAATGGAAAGATGAGTTCAAAAAGAAAGCAAACAAGGCGTGGGGGTAAAACATAGACAAACAGCATAATGGACAACACAGATAAAATGAAAGACTGACAGATGTTGAGGAAGGAAATAAGTGGAAAGGAGCAGGATGAGGAAGGAAAAAGACAATGTGAGCATGACAAGAGTAAAAAAAGAGTTTGAGTGAGTGAGATCTGCAGAGAGAGAGCGAGAGAGAGCGAGAGAGAGAGAGAGAGAGAGAGAGAGAGAGAGAGAGAGAGAGAGAG